AGAGAGAGAGAGAGGAGAGAGAGAGAGAGAGAGAGAGAGAGAGAGAGAGAGAGAGAACAAGCGCATAATGAAACCTCGGTATCATTTCTGTGATTCCACACCAAATGAGGTCATGAATTTCTGTTTTTATACATAGAAACTCCTGCGAGTCAGAAAGAAATTACAAAACTCTTTTGAAGATCTAGTACATTTTATGTGACCTTTTAACAGTGATAATTATAGAAATGGGGCACAACTGGATGTTTTCATAGCCAGTTAAGGAAGAGTGAAGACAGTGAACAGAGTAGAGGAAGCCAACAACAGACCCCACCCCTTTCTGAACTCTGACTGAATGAAGGTGTGATTTGAAGGAACCCAGGGGTCTGGTGGAGCAGAAAGTGAACCGAGGTATAGAGCAGACCACCTGTGGCCTCCTTACAAATGAAAGGGACAGAGGACATTTGCCACTGTTCTGAGGTGGAGATGGAGAACACAGCAGGGTTAGGAAGCAAATTGGGGCCATCCGAGAGGAAGGATGGAGAGGAGTCTAAGAGACGTAGGATGGTGGACAGGAGAGGGCACGGAAAAGACTGTGTCCCCGACTGGGTTTGGTGATGAAACTGCAGGCTGTGGGGACTGGCGTGAGGGGAGCTGTGGTGACCCTGTCTTTGACAGTGAAGGTTCTACATGGAGTGGGCTGTTGGGAACACTTAGAGCATGGGATGGGCGGGGATCCTCAGTGCAGCCTATAAGCAGCAGCCTGTGTTTGCTACAGGTGGGTTTGCATGTGTGTGTGTGTGTGTGTGTGTGTGTGTGTGTGTGCGCGCGCCCGCTCACACCAGCTCAGGTGAGTAAGCTTTTGTAGTTTTGTATGGGGCAGGTAAATTACCAGACTGGATGCATAGAAATCACCCATTACCACTACAATCCTGTAATATTTTAGGAATGTATATGTGTGTATGCATGCAGTACATGTTGGTATGTGCATGTGTGCGTGCATGTGTGTGTAGACTGCTCAAGTTTTCATCTTTAACTCATGATAGTTGTTAAATTTCTTGCTCCTCTGAACCAAGATACGAGGCAGAACAGCGTTCAGACCTCAATGAATCAATTTCTTTATGTAGAAATCAGGAAAAATGTATGGATTGGTTACTACATGGGTGATCCTTGCAGTGTCTCTGTAGTAATAAAAAATACCTTTACACTTTTATTTAATAGACACGAGACTCGGAAATGGATGATAAATGTTACCAGAAGGGATAAACACAGCTGTTTTACTGAAAAACAAGTAAAAAGTAAAACTGTGGGAGTTACAAAGTCTTTGCAGATAACCTGTAATAATAATTACTATAAAGAACTGATTCACAGAACGGCACTGTACAAGGTAGGACTTCTAAACTGTGTCAGCCTAAGGCATCATAGAAAAGATGAAATTCCAAAATGAGGAATGTGATGGCCCTGGAATCTTTGTTTTCCCAACAAACAAGCTGTTTACCCCACACAGCTGGCTTGGCCTGACTCTTGTAGTATTCGGGGGTTGTAAGTGGTAGCTGCTTCCCCTCTTCTGCCTTTCCTTCATTTTCCTTCTCTTTCATTCATTCACTGATCGATTATTAACTCATCACTTAATTTATTATTAGTCATTTTGTAATGCTGGGGGTTGAACGTAGAGCAATCATGCACCACATCCCCAGCCTGTGGTTACTTTTCCTCCTCTCCCATTGCTGGGAGGAAACACTGCCTCCTGTGGTGTCAAGGAGCAGAGAGTTATTTGCTCATAGTTTGGGGAGGGGGATCTGAAGCCTACTGGCTCCAAGGCACCAATTGCATGGCAGAAAGGGCCTGGTGGAGGACAGCTGCTCATCTCATGGAGGCAGAGAAAAGAGACAGAAATTGGGAGGAGAACACAGCCTTTCAGGTGACAGCCAGAGACCTCCAACCGCAGAACACATTCAGCCACGAGCTCCTCCGTAGATGAATCCACTGATGTGTTGAGCACTGACGGTCCAGTCACCTTACAAAGCCCCCTTCAATGATGTTTTGGGGAGATTTTTTAGATCCAAATCTTCACAAACCTTTTTATTTTGACACAGAGTCTTGCTTAGTCACTGTTGTCCAGGTTGGGCTTGAACTCATGATCCTCCTACCTCAGCCTCCTCTTCCAATGATTAATTGTGAGGAATGCTGGTTTCAGGTATTTCATTTTCTTCCTTTACATATATTTAAAATGTAAAACTGACATTTTACATGTTTTTTGAATACAGAAGCTCACTTTGTAAAGCTGGAAGATGGAAAAATAATGAAGAAAACCAGAATCACCAATTATCATATAAGACACTTTTTTTTCTTTTCTGTGTCAATGTCACATCTACTCTCTTTTTATCTTTATTAAGTTTATTGGTACATTTCAGGTATACAATACAGTTACATTCATCATTGGGATCTTGTACCTTGACATGACAGGTCTTGGTTCTTATTTTTCTCCATTCCCCAGCCCTCCCTTGAGCCCCTCCACTCTTCCCTGTTTATAAAGATATTGTTTCCATATTTTTCCAATTCACATATTTTTCTTTTCCCTTTTTCCCTTTCTCCTACCCCTCTCACTTCCTCTACTCTTTTAGACCTTTTCTTTCTATTACACAATATCAATTATACATTTTGATCCTTATTTACACTTTTAGTTTTTCACACCATAGAAACTATTTACTCACGCGTGACTTTTTAATTTCACTTAAGAATATGGCCTCAATTTGCATCCACTTAGCTATAAATATCTCTAGTTTCTCATCCTTTATGAATGAGTAGTACTCCATTTTATTAAAAAAAAACACACATGTCTATCCAGTCTCCAGGTGATGGGCAAGGGCTGTTTCCAAATTTTAGCTATTACAAACTGTGCTGCTAAAAACATGGCTGAGCATATATCGCTGTGGTGTGATTATTTTAATTATTTTGGGAAGATACCCAGCAGGGGAATAGCTGGGTCAAAAGGGACTTCTAATCCTAGTTGTTTGAGGTATTTCCATATTGATTCACACAAGTGGTTGGGCCAGTCTGCATTCCCACCAACAGTGGAGAAGGGTTCCTTTCTTCCCACAGCCCTGCCAGCATTTGTTATTGATTGATTTCTTGAGAGCAGCTATTCTTTCTGGGGTGAGGTGGAATCTGTATCTCTGGAATGATCAGTGATGTTGAACATTTTTTCATGTTTATTTGCTGCTTTTACTTGTTTGTCTGAAAAATGTCTGTTCATTTCAGATGCCCATTTTTGAATTAGGTCTTTATATTTAGGGGGTGTGATTTTTTTTGAGTACTTTTGATATTCTACATAGTAGACCTTTGTTTGAGTAATGGCTCGTAATTTTTTTTTCCATTTTGTGGGTTCTTAGCTCTGCTGGTGATTTCTCTTGCAGTGCAGAAGCTTATAAAAAAGAAGAAATCCCAGTTGTTGAATCTTTGTGTGAGGATTTGTTCATAAAGTCTTCTCCTATGCCGATACCTTCAAGAGTTCTACATAACTTATCTTCCAGCAAGTTTAGTGTTTCTGTTATAATATGTAGACCTTTAATTCACTTGGATTTTATTTCAGTGCACGGTGAAAGGTAGGGGTCTAGTTTTAATCTTTGACAACTTGAAATCCAGTTTTTCCAACACTATTGATTAAAGAGGCCATCTTTCCTCCACTGAGGGTGTGTGGCTCCTTTTGTCAAAGGTGAGGTAGCTGAGTGTGTTAGGAGTTATTTCTGCATCTTCTAATCTGCTCCACTGATCCTCGGGACTGTTTCTTTGCCAATACCATGCTGTATCACAGTAGCTCTAAGGAGTATGGCTCTTTTCATTACATTGACTCTTTCTACCCAGGAACGAAGGATGTCTTTCCATTTTCTTATGTCCTCAAGATGTGACTTTGTCCTTGACTGTTAATATAGTGTATTACATGTATTGATTTACATATGTTGAACTATCTTTGCATCTCTATGATAAATCTGACTTGGTCAGGGTGTACAATCTTCTTGATGTCTCTCTGTATTCATTTGCCAGTATCTTATTGAGGATTTTTGCATCTATGGTCATTAGGGAGATTGGCCTGTAGTTCTCTTTTTTGGCTGGGTCTTTCCCTGGTTTTAGACTCAAAGTAATACTTGCTTCCAGGAATGAATTTGGAAGTATTGCTTCTCTTTCAATTTCATTGAAAAATTTAAAGAGTGGTGGTAATAGTTCTTCTCTAAATGTCTTGTAGAATTCAGCAGTGAAGCCATCAGGACGTGGGCTTTTCTTTGTTGGTAAATTTTTAATTACATTTTCAATTTCTCTGATTATAATTGGGGCATTTAGAATTTTTATATCTTCTTCATTCAACTTTGGTAATTCATATATATCTGGATATCTGTCCATTTCTTCTGTGTTCTCTATCTTATTAGAGTACAGGTTCTTGAAGTAGGTATTTATGATCCTCTGAATTTTTGCTGGATCTGTTGTGACTTCACCATTTTAATTCCTAATTGCATGAATTTGAGCCTTTTCTTTCCTTTTTTGATAAGGTTAGCTAAGGGTTTATCTGTTTTATTTATTCTTTCTATAAAATCAACTTTTTGATTCATTGATTTTTTTCAATCATTCTCTTAGTCTTCATTGCATTGATTTCTGCTCTGATCTTCATAATTTCCTCCCTTATATGAGCTTTGGGTTTCTCTTGCTCTTCTTTTTCTAGGAGTTAAAGATTCAACATTAAGTTGTTTATTTGAGCTTGCTCTGTTTTCCTAGTGTGGGCATTTACTGCTATGAATTTCCCCCATAAAACTGCTTTCATTGTATCCCATAAATTCCTGTATGTTGTACTGGCCTTGTCATTAAATTATAAAAACTATCTAATTTCTTCTTTAATTTCTGCATCATGATACCAAACCAGCACTCCAAACAATTCTAAATAATATCCTAGAAAAAGACAATGAAGGTCACAACTATATGAGGCCCAACAGAGCAAATCCAATAGGTAAAAATTTAAAGTGAGAGGGAGAAAAATAAAAAAGAACCAACAACAGGAAAATAATGTGACAATGATAAGTCAATACATATCAGTTATAACTGTCAATGTCAGTGGCCTCAATTCACCAATCAACAGAAATAGACTGGCAGAATGGATTAAGAAGCAAAATCCAACAATATGTTGTATACAAGAAACACACCTACTTGAAAAAGAAATTCATAGACTGAAAGTAAAAGGATGGAAAACAGTTCTCCATGCAACAGGAACCCAGAAAAAAAGCAGGGGTAGCTATCTTCTTTGCAGACAATGCAGGATACATCACCCTAGGTTGGAGGTTGTTTTCTTTTAGGGCTGACATACCTCACTCCTGTCTCTCCTTGACTTGAGGGTTAGTGTTGAAAAGTCTGTTGTGATTCTAATGGGCTTTCCTTTGCATGTAATTTGTTTCTTTTATCTAACTGCTTGTAATCACATCTACTCTCTAGAAAGTGGTTTATTTTACTGCTTGTGTCTTTCTTTTATCCACCTGACATCACATGTAGCAATTCTCCCACATATTTAAACATTTTTTCCAAATGGGATTGTTTCTTATTTCATCAAAAGCATCCCTGTTTTCAGACATTTGTGAGTGTCCCATTTTAAACTTTTATTAAATATGATTATTTCTAAAAGTCTTTGGTTATTTATGCGATTAATATTTTGACCAACTCCATAAATGTAAAATTACTGGATCAAAGTCTAATTACATGTTTAGGGCTTTTGCTTCACATCGTCAAACTCATCTCCAAGGAGCGGTGTAGTACAGGAATCCCTCTTCCTCACATCTCCTCCAGACCAGGAAATAGGAATTTTATAGTGTTTAAAGACTTGACATTCCCAGCTGTGATGACAGGTGGCTGTTATTCCAACACTTAGGAGGCTGAGGCAGGAGGATGAGGAGTTCAAAGTTACTCTGCACAGTTTAGGGAGTATAATGAATGTGAGCCCAGCTGGGACTATACAGAGCGAGACTCTGTATCAAAAAGCAAAACAAATGTACACAAAAATACGACATGGAGACTTTCTCAAACTCTTCATTTTTTTCCATTTCTTTTCTTAATAATAAATTTAAAAATTATTCATTTTACCTTCTTCTTCTTTTGTTGGTCGCTTGGGCATCTTCTTTGCTTTCTTAGCTGTTGTACCTTGATCTTGTTGGACTGCATATGCATATGTGAGTGCACCCATCTAGTGTGTGCGTGTGTGCAAACACATGCGCATGGACACCGCAGACACAACTCAAGCTGAGTGGTGCCTGTCGAGGACCAGCTCTGCCTGGTGTAGCTTTGTGCTGGCCGCTGCAGGGCTGTGAGAGGGGGTGGCAAGAACAGACCTTAGGCAAGTGGCAGCCACTGGCTATGGTGTCCGTGAAACTTTCATTTGGAGCTGTTGTCCCAACACTGTTTCCTGGCAGTTTTTCAAGAAAACCTCTTCTCTGAAATGCTTTCTAAACATATGATCCAGTCCTGGGTTGATGTGCTGCTTTCTCCCCCAGGTGACAGTATCCTCAGTGTGGGCACAGGACATGTGTGAAGCCTCTCAAGCCTGTTCTACACCTGGTCTAGGTCTGGCCCAGTGGCAAGTGGCTTGGCCTATCTGTAGGAGAGGCCTGTGGGCTGAGTCCTCTTGTCTGACATCTGCAGGAAGTGTGGCCTGGTCAGGTTAGCCACTCAGAACCCATTGTCCCATTGGGTCCCTGGGCTGCTTCAGTACCTACCCACTGTGGGTGACAGATGGTTGGATTCAAGAAGGTGGCTTTATTAAGATCTTTTGTTCCTATGACACATATGGGAATTGTGAGAGAGAGTGAGAGATAGAGAGAGAGTCTGGTGTACCCAGGGCTCTGAATATTGCTGGTAACTTTCAAGTCCATATTCTGTCTTCTGGTATAGGACAGGTTTGGAGCAGCTAGGTACTCACTTCTGAGGAATCTGCTTTGACCCCAACTACCCTTTTAGTACACAGAATTGGACTGAATGTGTTATGAAATAGACTTGTGCAGCATGTTTTGACCCAAGCAAGAATTTTATTATTGTAGTGGTCTCTCTCTCTCTCTCTCTCTCTCTCCCTCCCTCCCTCCCCCTGACTGAAAGAAAGTAAAGATGACTCCAGGCCCCTGTCTTCTGTATTGAGAATGACAGCAAGAGTAGCCATCCAGGGAAACCATTCCTGGCTCCAAGACAAGCACTGCCAATCACAAGGATGCTTGGTTCATTCTCTTTTCCTTTTCCTCTGAAACCTTAAATTTAACAATGTGAATGATTGTAATATACAAATACTCCTTTACTTATTTTTTGAAAAACAGGACTGCGAAAAGATAAGCAAAAGCAATCTATCCTATCTAAAGCCCATACTGAAGAAAGCAGAGTTTAAAGACCAGGGCTATTACTCCTGTGTGTTTTCACTTCTTCGTAATGGGAAACTGTACAACATCACTGACACCCTCAATATAACGATACTTAGAGGTAAGAAGTCTCAGAATCATGTAGAACTCATAACTGTGTTTCTTTTAAAGCCACTAAAATGGAGCAGCTTTAACTATATTGCTAGTTCAAGTACTAGGCTTATAATCTTCATTTTGGCGCTGTCCACCTGGCTTAAAAAGTTTTCGCAGCAAATCAAGGTTTGCATGGGTGACCTTCACAAGTCTTTTTTTTTTTTTTTAAAGAAACGGTGTAATTTTGTTGTACTTTTGTTTTCACTCCAATATTTATTGCAAGCCTAAATATTTATCCGAGACATCCATCATCAATAGACTGTCAATAGACTGGGAGGCAAGGTAAGCAGGGGAATGTGGAATGAAAGAAGTAATATACCATCATCCTCCAGGAGTTGCAGGGTAATCCAGGGAGGCAACGAGCAATGGCATGGAATGTTATAAAATGGAGTCATATGTGAGGCTTAGAAGTGTGGTTGGCAGCAGGACAGACAGACACAGGCTCCCCTTGAGCTGGGTCAGGGTGGAAAAGCATCTCCACAGGACAGGCCCCAGATAAGGGGGCTGGCAATGTGGTTTGTAAGGGGCACTTTCAGGTTGACCAGAAGAAAAGGTGGCATGTAGTGTGGATTGCCATGAATCCAGACTCGGTGTAATGGAAAACAAAAGCACGGACCTTTGAGTGTCAGAGACCTTAGGGTAACTTAACTACACCCCGCCCTGTAAGGTGTTCCTTCACATGGTATAGCCCATGCCTGTCCATCCAGACCTGTCCTGGGAACTTCCAAGGAAATTAATAAATCACATTTTGATTCTGGCAGTTCAAAAGTCTTTTTTCCCATTGAGTCCCAACACGGTATCTTATTGCTCCTGCCTCCTGCTTTTGTTTGCCATTAGGGACTTCTCAGATTGTCTGGTCCTGTCTTAGAATGAAAGCTATTTCTCTTATTTGAAGATGGATGGCTTGTCCATGCTACACATTTCTTTCATCATCCTGGGGACTGGTATATGACTCAGTCAACAAAATCCAAGGCTCACAGGGTTCTGATCCCTCTGCTTCAGTAACATTTTCCCTCTGCACCCCAACTATCCATGCACACATCTGTACAACCATGAATTGCCACTCTAACCAAGCACCCCAAACTTAGTGTCCTCAAACAACTTACATTCCTTCTTTTTTTGCAATTCTGGAGTTCAGATTTCTGAGTGAATTTAGAGAGATAAAATAAAGTTTCAGAAGGACTGAGTTTCTTCTGGAGGTTCTAGGGGGAGAAGAGACTTCTTGGCCTTTCCTGGCTTCCAGAGGCAGCCTGAACTTGTCAGCTCAACATATCAGTCTCCAGCATGGCCTGCCTCCCTTCCTCCCTCTGTCTCATCACTTCCTGTCCTTTTATGACTGACTTTGAGCTTTCTGTGTCTCTGAGGAGAGATGTGACTGCATTTGGGATCCACCTGGACAATCATCCAGGACAATCCCTCCATTCCAAGACCCTTGACTTAGTCATATCTGCAGAACTTTCTGGCCGTGTCTTAGTCTGTTTCCTCTTCTCTAACAGAGTACCACACACTGGGTAATGTGTAAATGATGGAGATTCCTTTAACTTCCAGCTGTAGTGTCTTGGAACTCATATTTGGTGAGGGCTCCGTGTGTGTCATGACTTGGCTGAAGGGCAAATGAGTATGGTTGAGAGTGAGAGAAAATGGAAGGGAGACTCATTCTCCCACAACAACTAACCTCCTCCTGCAATTACTGAGCCACTCCTGCATTAACAAACCCACTTCTCCTATAACTAACCCATACCCTCAATAACTAACTTATTCCAGCAATTCAGTAACTACCCTACTCTTGCAGTATGGCACTAGCCAGTTCTTGAGGGTGGAGCCCTCCTGACCTAAACCTCACTGAAATGCCCACCTCTTAATCCTGTTGCAGTGGCAGTTAACATTCAGCATGAGTTTTGGAGGGAACTTTCCAACTGCCCACCATTGTAGCACCCCATATTCACAGGATCTGAAGATTAGGATGAGTTTACTTTGGAGAGGTGCTATTATTCTACCTGCCATAGCTGTGGCCTGGTCATCCTATACTTGAATCCCTGCATTCCAAAATATTAAATTCCAGGTATCATTCTTCCCCCTAAGATCCTCAACTTCACATTCCCACTGGTTTAGATGGAATAGGAAGGTGTGGGATGCCCACCCCCACCCCACATACTTCTCAGAATGGTGTGCAGTTGGTGACTTATGAGCTGTTTACTTTGGGATTTTTCTATTCAGTATTTTTTGACTACTGTTGACCTTGAGCAGCTGGAAATGCAGAATGCAAAAACAGATATGAGGGAACTACTATACTTCAGTGTACTGTAACAAAGTGCTCTTTGTTACACAGGGTGAGCACTTGGTAACAGATGCTTGTCTTAGAGAAATTCAAGGAAAAACTAATGTGTTCCTCTTTTCTTCTTCTAATTTTAGAGCGCAGTGATGTCATTCCAGTTGTTCTTGGGCCACAGCTGACTAGAATTGAAGTGGAATTAGGTATGTCTCAACATACGCAATCTTTGTATTCATGAGTGGGGGACACACTTCAGTTTTCAGAGGGTAAATCTGATTCTCATGGTCTCAACACTGTCTTCACAACATATTCCATATTTAGTGCCCAACATTAAAAAGCATATCACTATTTGAGTGTTGCCACTGTGGGGATGATTAAAAGAATGATCTGTTCAAAGACAGTGGAACCTCATGTTGTTTGTAGAGTCCAGTTCTGTCACTCATCTCTGTGTTTATTTCTTTTTTTAGCTATGTTTTTTGGTACATTTTAGGTGTACAATATGAAAACTCAGTGATAACACTTCAGGGAGTTGATTCAAATTTGCTTTGTGGTTTGAATATTAGATTCACTGATTCACCTCCAATCAGAGGACCAAATTAACTGTATATTTAGGATTTATCTAGATAGATCTTATGAACTAACATGTCTGACTAAATAATTTCTTTGGCAAAGGAAAGTAAAGAAATAAATCCACATATGCTAAATGTGCTAGCGAGTGGAAAGGCAGCATGAAATTGAATCCTCAAACCAACTCCGAGAGGCACTATCCCTGAGTTCTGGATTAAAAGACAGACAGAAAGGCTAAATACCTTATCCAAAGCTAAACTATTGAATGTGGCAGAGAGGGGTTCCAAATCTGTTGGGCATTATGTTCCAAAGCCACACTTTGCAAGACGAGCAGGATTCACAGTCCTTTAGACAATAATATACACAGGTGCAAGTCAGGTGCTTTGCCATTTGAACTTGAGGTCTTTCTGCTTCATACTTTTATTGATTTCCACCCTTACATCTGTTATTTCTTTCCTTCTGTTCTATTTTTTGGTACTGGGGATCGAACTTGGATCCTTGTGCTTGTGGGGCAGGTGGTCCTTCCATTCTTGATCTTAACTTTTACTTCCTTTTCTAACTGTTGACAATGAGAGTTAAGAATTAATTTCAATTGTCTTCTGTTGTGCCATGTACAAGTTAAACTTTACATTTTACTGAATCCCATTTTAGCTATTTCCAGTAAGAATTAGTATGCCAAATTTTATATTATTCCATTCCAAATGTTAAAAAATTTTCCGTTGTGATCTTTTCTTTCACCTGTGGCTTATTTGTGTTTCTTAATTTTCAATTTTTTAAAACAAAAACTCACTTATTTATTAAAAATATCTATCATTTATGCACTTGTTCATTGTTGCCTCTATTTTCTTTCAAAGAGTTGTTCAGAGTCTTTATCTGCCAAAACTAACATCTCAGTCATCTATGGGTATACTTCTATTATCTGTTTTTTCTCTTAATAATTGTTTCATTTTCTACCTTTTTGCATGTCTCTTATTGTTGTTGATCTTTGTGAATCAGAGTGAATGTAATGTGTATTATTTTTTCCCTCTGAGTATTTTCCCTTTCCTTTGTTAGGGAGGCAGAATGAGGGGTTGAGTATCTGAGTGCACTCAGAATGAAGCTGGGTTGTGGGATACAGGTGTGTGGGTTGGATTTACCTTGAATCTCTGGTGGCTGGCAGTGGGGGAGAAGGCTGTAGTCAGGAGATGGCACGTTTTCCCAGCCCAAGCCCTTGGCAATATCCTTTCCAGCCTCTGTAGCTGTCAGTGTCCCCCTATGATTCATTTCCCTATGAGAATATTTCTGTTTATTTCAACCCAAGCACAGTGCTCCATGGAATAAAATGGCTAGCCATCATCATTCATTCTGGAAATAATATTTCCTGGCTACACGTGTAGCTTAACTATTTCGACTTATTTTTTCTATACCTTGAGGACTTTAGTTTTTAGTTATTTATTTGTAAATTATCCATTTTGTTGTCCTAGAAGTTGTTTGACAGTGTTGACTTCAACTATCTACTCAATTGTGTGCTGAAATAAAAGGCCACAAGGCACCATAAGTCTTAGTAGTTGATTTAAAAGAATATATATATAGAAAGCCATTTGCAACTTTTCTGGTGGCTTGTCATTACTACCTAATTCCTCTGCTTTAGTATTATTATTTTTAGTTTAAAAACAAACATCTGTTCTCTTCTATATAGCACTGTGTTTTGTAGTAAATTTATGTTCATCAGTTATATTAATTTGAACTCTGTGGGAAATCAGGGTTTCTAAAATGAAAATTATGGCTGTCAACTTTTACCTAGGAGAAGATGTAGAACTCAACTGCTCTGCTTTGCTGAATAAAAATGACTATCTTTACTGGAACTTCCAAAAAGAAGAAGGACTACATCTTAATGTGCATCAAGACAACAAAATACCACCTTGGTATGTATGTGTAATGTATGACAGATAACACAGTGTATGTAAAGATCACAGTACATATACATGATATAAAAGATGCTGGACTCTCAAGTAGGTGATGTGGTGTTTTGTGTTAGTTTACATTTATAGTATATACATTTTATCATTATAATTACCATACCCTCAATTGGATTATACAGAAATTTATTAGCAAGTTCTGAGCTACATAAAAGATCCATGAGAACATCCATGGTAGTTTTTATCATCACTTTATAAGAGTAGCTTGTAGTCAGTCAGGATGAAAGTGGTGGTATTTTGCCAGGCTTCTTATAGAAGAACAGTTACTTAGGCTGCAGTGGCTTGGAGTTTGAAGAACATGTTAAGTGCTTTATCTTTACTACTGTGCCACACAGGTTCCAAAGAACACACACATTGGTACTTAAGTAGCCTATATTCTTCCACCAAGGAATGTCCACACAGACTCAGTTAAAAAACCATACTAAGCAGATGGTCATTTAATCTTTTCTGAATGATATTGGATCCTAATGTAATGAGTAATTATTGTACTTAGCATTATTCAGGTTCTGAGGAGCAGTAATCCTGAAGTTTCTGGCTCCTCACTTGCTCTTTCTGATTTTCCCCTGCTTTTTTTACTTTTCTTTGGTATATTCTTTGCTGCCATCATAGCATCCTCTCGATTCTCTCTGCCACTTGTCTGCAATGTCTGGCTCCTCCAAACCAGGCAGATGCTTAGTGCCCAGCAGGTATTGTATTCAGATGAGTGGCCTGGCTGTTCCAATGACAGTGCTGTTCCTCAGCAACCATCCTCCATCAGAGTTTCCACCCCCTTTCTAATGACCTGTGTCTCATCTTAGGAGGCATGGAAGACCAGCTCACCAAGTTTAGAACTGTAGCTGAAGTTGGGAGAGCAGGGTGCTCCCTGTCGTTGGGAGCACAAGCCATGAACATCATCCCTCGGCTTCTCAAAGGAACCTTTGAATCTTCTGGATTTTGTGGGTTTCAGGTGATCTCTCCAAATGGGAGATCTCTATATAGAATTGTGTTTTGAAGGTGCTGAGACAGCTGTTGGCTGTGCTGGGTTCCATGTGCCATGTACTCCAGCCAGCTGTTAGTGGGCAGATGAGCACACAGGGAGCATACCTGCCTGAGCTAATGGGCACAGCACCTTACAGCCTGTCACTATCATAAGCACCAGTGCTTGTCTTGTATCAGCAGTGGGATCACTTGAGCCCTTGGAAGGACAGGAAAGGAGCTTGCTGCCAGTGGTTCTCCCAAATTATTTTCTTGTACTTGCTGAACAGCTCAGTTATTTTCTGGTACTTGTCCTGTACCTGGGTGTCAGAGAATAGTGATCCTTTTCTTAATGATAATGGGGACTGCTTGGACACACTGGACCTGAATCTGTACCTATGCTAAACAGTTCACAGCTTCTATAGTTTGAATAAAATTTCTTCCCCAGACTCCTGCACCAGTTTAGTCCTGTTTTATGGTAATAGTGTTAAGAAGGCAGAAGCTGTGATATTTGGGGAAGGAGCTTTGGAGAATGATTAAAATGGATTAGTCATGAGAGTGGAGTCCCACAATTGAATTCTGGTGGCTTTATAAGAAAGGGGGAGAAAGAGCCCACACACATCATTACACACACCTTGATTGATTTAGCTCTGCAGGGATCCTTGCATTCTCTGTTCCATGCTGTTTGGATTTCAGCCTCCAAAACTATGAGCTAAATAAACTTCTTGTCTCTACAAAGTAACCCGACTCATATATTTCATTATAGTAACGAAAGCAACTTAATAAAGTAGGCTTCTCACCATTAATGAAGACTGAACTGTGGAAAGAACCCCAAGCTGTTAGGAGGGAAGGGATAGGAAATATAACAGAGAATACGAGAGACAGAGAGTGAAGATATTTTCAGGTATTTTCAACTTAGTATCTATTTTAATTACTTTCTTTAATGCTGAGACACAAGATCTATTACAGCTTGTGTCTAGATGTCCCCTCAAAGCTTCATGCAGTCATAGGCATGGCTTTTCCTGAGTATTCATGGTGCAGTGCTAGGCTTGAGGATTAAGGGTGTGAGTGCTAGTGGCCCTAAGTAGCCTGAAATCCTTATATAACAAGAGCTATGGTCATCCTTGTTGCTTTGCAGCCTTCTGCCTGCCTTGAAATGTTTCCCCTCATTGATGCCACCCTGCTTTGGAGTGAGCCAGTTATGCACTGAAACCTCTACAAACTGTGAGCTACATAAAGCTTTCCTCCTTTAACTTTGGCTGTCAGGTATTTTTGTCTTAGCAAGAAGAAAAGTAACTAATACCCAGTATCCACAATTAAAAGGACAAAAGGTTTATTTTGGCTCACAGCTGTACAGGATTCAGTCTGTAGTTGGCTGGCTTCAAGGCAGATGGCATGGCAGAAAGGCCAGAGTGGAGGAGAGCTATGTGGTGGTCAGGAAGCAGAGATAAAAGGGAGGAGCCCGGGATGGAGATAAGTGCCTTCCAGTCACGACCCCAGTGACTGCCTCCAACCAGGCTCTGCCTCCCAACAGCACATTCTGCCACTGAGCTCAGTAGTAGATGAATCCACTGATGAGTGCAGCAATCCCCCATGCCCCAATCACCTCCTTAAAGGCCCTCCTCTGAATACATGAGGCTTTTAGGGGATGTTCTGAGTCTAAACTCTGATAGTATCATTATTCTATAGCCACTTAAAAATCTAGGGAGTTGACGACACTGCCCCCAGAAGGCCTGCAAAAGGCTGTTGCTGTCTTCTGATGTTCCACAAAGCTGCAGGAGGACCATTGTATAAGTTGCCCCCAGAATGGGAAGGTGCAAAAGAGCCAAGTGCTTGCTGCCTTTGAATATCTTACATTTATGGATTCCCCACTCACAGGTAACTTTGCTGGTGACCAAGCCTTTTACTGAATTATTTTCTTCTCTTACAGGACTGCAGAAGGCAAAACATATGCTTCCAAAATACTGAGAATTCAGAAAGTTACTGAAAGCAATCTAAATTTTTTATACAATTGCACTGTGGTCAATGCAGGAACCACAGATACCAAAAGCTTCATCTTGTTGAGAAAAGGTATGAGCATTTTGTGTACAGAAGTGTGTGGAGACGTGGAAGGTTGCTGTGCTCAGAGATTGCCAGGTCCTCATTGGGAACCAAGCTCCTACAAGTTGGCAGATTCACTTGTGTCCCAGGAAAGCAGTGTTGAGACTGGGTCTCCACCTTGGCTGGAATCCTCTGTGTCCTGATCCCAGCCAGGCAAATTTGAAACCAATGCAGAGACAAGAGCGCAGGGATTCAGATACTGGGGACAGGGGTTTCAGGGGAAGCAGCTAAACAACCTTCTCACTGGAATAAGCACAGGGAAGTTTGCAGATAGGCGTCAGGGGAGCCTGCACCCGTAGCTGTTGCCTGCACCTAGCACAAGCAGGCTTGGGCCTCAGTGGGCCCCTGGGTGTGGCCATCTATTCCACAAAGAGAGCCTGGGGCCCCTTCTCTGGGCAGCCCCTGGACAGGGCCCATGGACATTAAGTGGACCTGACCCGTGGGTTCTTGACGTTTCCAGAGATGCCCTCCTAGAAAGCCGTAGGCGGGCTTGTCTCTATCTTCTCTCAGCACCACCACTTCAGGTTCTATGGTTCAGTGGCTGCTCAGGAGTGGCTGAGTCTAGAGCCAAAATCTCTGCTTCTTTTTGTCACCTCTCACTCGCTGCTTAGTCCCAGGAGTGGCCACCAACTCCTTGGATGTGGAAGGAATGGTGATGATCTGAGAGACAGAAAGGGAGAGACAGACAGAGACAGACAATGAGAGGTGAGAGAAAGAGGGACAAACAGAGGCAGAAAGATGTCAACAGAAAGAGGGAAGAGAGAGAGAGAGAGAGAGAGAGAGAGAGAGAGAGAGAGAGAAACAGAGACAGAAAGAGATACAAAGACAGGAGAGAAAAACAGCATGCGACACACACACACACACACACACACACACACACACACACACAGAGGACCATGCCTCAGTGAGAAGCCACCTGCCCCGTGCTGTCCTGGGCCCATGTGCCTCTCAGTGTGTGCCTGTTGGATGCCGTTACTGTCCCAACTGTGGTCTCCATGCTAGCCAGCACCTTTCATGTGTTGGTCCTGTGACACTCTGTGCTCCACTCTTCCAGAAATGCACCCATCTCAGCTCTGCTCTCTGATAGGTGACAAATCCACCCAAGGCCACACAGCAGCAAAGGTGATGAAATGAAGACTGGTTACTTCTAGAGTCACAGGGTCCTTTTCTATCTATCTCCTCGTCCCATTGGGTTTGCTTGTGCTGTGTGTGCTGTGGCCCGTGCACTGGAGAATGAGAGACTTTCAAATCTCTTAAATCTGGGTATGTCAGGTTGATAGCCTGACCCTGTTACCTGAAAGAGGGGACAGCAGGAGATGAAAGAATAGTATACAAAGAACCAGGAATAAAGAATAATGAATGATAGTTTATTACTTGGGGAGCTGGGAATTGATCTTAGCTCTCCTGGCTAAGACCACAGGCTCTGGATTAGTCAGTATGTATGATCACACAACAAGAGGGTAAAGGCAGATGCAGGGAATAGCAGAACTAATGAGCCAGCCTGTAAAAGGTCAGTAACTATCTATTCCTGTGAAGGACAGGTCATGGTTAACAAACCATCTGTGCTATCTTGCAGATTGTCACTAACAAGCCACCTGCATTATTTTTACTAACATTTTCTCTTAGAGAGTGGTTGCACAGTTATAATTCTTCAGCTTTGGTGTTAGCTTGATTTTAGAGACATCACAACCTCATCATTTACTGAGATCTCAGTTGTGACCGTTGGCATAGGGAAGTCTGTCTCTGTACACCAGTTGAAGGCTCATTTAGCAATTCACACTTAGACCTTGAAATGACTCATTATTTTAATGAATAGCCAAATTATAAGCCATATCAATAATATCTAAAGCCTGTTCAGTTAGGTCTCAAGCTGGTCTCCTGTTCAATTGATCTTCTGTGTTGCCTCCATTTCCCAGCATCCACTGGCCACCAGCCACCTGTCTTGAGCATTTTTCCTTCTTCTGAGTCCACAAATGTAGGCTGGGGTATAGCATCTCCCAGCCCACCCCTGCCCTGGAGGAGTATGGGTCCCCATGTGGGTGTGCATGTGTGAGCCTGTGTGTGTGTGTGTGCACGTGTGCACACATGTCTAGCCACAGTCATGAGTGTGTACACCTTTCAGAGATGCCGGAACCCAGCACTGGGCTTCATTCCAGACTCATTTATAAGTAACCCTAGTAGCTAACTTGCATCCTAATAGTTTGTTTTACTGGAAATATCATCATGAGAAATTGTGCTACCTAGGCTGGCAAAAGCTTGAAGGAGGTTTTTACACTTTAACCTAGAGCTATCCCCGCCTTTAAGATTTTTTCCAAGAAAAGCAAAAGCAGAAAAATGTGATGTATCGATCATTGCAGCATTAGGTATACTTAGGGCAAACTGCAGTCTATCTGAATCTTGGGGTATTGTAAATGATAATTTTAATGACCTAGTGAAATGTGAACAAATAAAGAATGATTAGCTTGATATCAATTAAGTAAAAACTTCCAAGTAAAAAAGAAACACAGAGCGGAAATACACTGTCTTGTTAGTATGACTATTATCACATTGCCAGTTTATTGTTAAATATTAAAATATTATGCTCCTGTACAGTCTCATATTTGCCTATAGTGAGCATAAACTGAATCAGTCTAGGAAAAGTAAGTATTGTCCTAAAGGAATACAAAAATTTGCTAAAATTCTGAGAATAATGTGCCAGGCATATTTAACTACATTATGTGTAATATCTCTTTCACTCCTCTCCCAAACATCATCAGTAAGTGAAACAAACCATGTATTTTCATTTTACATTGGAAGACACTAAGTCAGAGGAGCCTCCATTCTCCATGGTCTTTCCTATAATGCAAATGAATTGATGGAGTCAGGCTTCCAACCCTATGCCCTCTCAGTCCTATGTTGCCTCTCAAAACCATACACATCTGTTTGCTCAATCTGCCAGCTGAGATTTATACTTGGTCCTGTTACAACTCACACTACTATGTTACTGGCCCAGAAATCTGAATCCCACAGGTACAAATGGAAGATGTCACAGTATTTTCAGTTCAGGTCTCTGAATGTTCCTGAATACATTTACTCTTAAGAATTGGAAACATCCGAACTATGGACTAACAGTAGGAACGTGAGGGACCGAGCAGGCAGTGGACAATTGGGTGGGTCCCTGGCTTAATGAGAAAGGTCAAGGTTGACAGCCACACACAATGGTAGAAGGCACCACTAATATCCCATTGGACAAAAGTTTTTTTCTTCTGGTTCTGTTTCTTTTGCCAGTGGACACAGCTGATATCCCTGGCCACGTCTTCACTGGAGGGATGATTGCAGCCATTGTGGTCTCTGTGGCAGTCTTGTGCCTGGGGGTTGTGTGTGTCATTTATAGAGTGGACTTGGCTCTGTGTTACAGACGCTGGATGGGAAGAGATGAAACGTTAACAGGTAATGGGTTTTGTAATGCTGGGGTTTCTTGTTTTGTGTGCTCATTGGTAAACTGAATAAATTAATCCTCATCTTATTAAGATGAATACTCTTCACTTTAATTTGAATACATTGTTGACTTAGTCTGTGGGAGAGGTTTTCTGTGGAAAAAATATCACATGGCATTCACCATCCATCATAAATGTTTTGTGCTTTTTCTTGTGCTTATTTGTGTATTGCCAAAAATTGTTCTGTAGTTGTTTCATGCATGCACATATGTGTATATGTTTCCCATATACCATGTCCTAAATATGCCATGCATTTCTTGGGCCCAGGAACTGTACATCTGCATGCTTTTGCACACAGCCTTTACTGCCCAACATGGACAGTCAAAAAAGTTTTTTGGCATTGAATTTCATTGCATTATGGGTCATTATTATCATCTGGAAAAGGAGGGTAAATGATGTACTGCAAGAAACCTGAGTTTAAAGCTAATGGGTCCAGGTTCTACTCTCCTAGATCCACCAGTTTTTATCTATTACTATATCTATCTGGTGACTCTACACCTCAGTTTTCTGATATTTAAAAGTGACAATAAGTCTTTAAGTTTCAAGATAGTAATTAAAAATCAATCCAATACATTGTACTAGCAGATTTATATTACAAGGAGAGGATTACTTGACATATAAAATTTCAAAGCAGTTGTTGAAAAACTAATTTTTTTTTGTAACAGCAAAAATCGTGTAATATAAATCTGTACTTGGCTGAGGTGTCTTCCCATTTTATTCCAGTTACAGTCGAACTATGAAAAACAATGTGACTTTATAAAGAATGTGGTCATCTGGTTATCTTACCTTTTCATGGTTGTTCTTATCACTGACATAGTAAGTACTAGAAGGAACACTACCTCATACCCACCTAGTAAATGCCACATTTCATAGCAATCTAAGAGACTTCTGCAGCAGAGCTACATACTGATTAAACTGGTTTTTGTCAACTTTTCCAACCTTTAATATGCACCTATGTCAGAATTTTTTACCAAAATTTCCTATCTTTCATATACCTACAATGCTGAAAAGCAGTTGCTTTAGATCAATAGTAGGTTGTGTCTTGAACTGTGAAACCACATTGCTGTAGGACGAACTGATAGAAACCGAAAGCATTGTCCTGCAGGGCTAAAGACGTTGATGTTGCCCTTAGCAGTTGAGAATAAATCATGTAGCACCATAAAGGACCTGGGCCTAGAATAATTTCACCCTGGTATATATGTATAAAGAATTGCATCATTTCTAGCCTTCAATACAGTAGCAAATCCTGATAATATAGCTAGGCATAAATGTCCCTTTTCACCATCTACCCAGTTGTCACAGGATAAGGACAGGCCATTCCTCACCATTCCTTCCTCTCTACCCATACTGATTAGCACTAGAGTCACTGTTGAGGACCTGGCTCACAATTTCCTTTGCTCAGGAAGTGTGTCCATTGAGAACACTGCTCAGTCTCTGCCCAGGCTATTCTGTTCATCTGCCTTGTTTTTATAATGCTGTTTTTACTTTGCTTAGGTGCTGTTATTATCCTTTTTCAAGCTGTTGAGCTTGTTTCTCTTATCTTCTCAAAGGGATTAGATGAAGCTAAAGACAGATTTGGATGATTTTAGTTTTTCACATACCAATAAGGAGAATGGGCTTTGTCATGTAGGCAACACATTTTCTCCTGAATATACCCATTCATCATTTGAATACTGGTGCATTATGAGGAACTAAGTAGAAGCAGATGTGGACATCACCAAGAACCTTTCGATGGACCAGAAGTTTTCCTTTTGATGTCTGATGCCCTACAGTACTTTGGACTAGCACAGTATATGCACAGTGAATGTTTCCATTGCCTCATTGCTATTCCCGCTTGGTATCGCATTTCTGTCTTTCCTTCTTGGGTGGGGCAGTTGTGAGGGTTAAAACGAGGTTGGTTATAGAATTGAGCAACAGGAGTGAGTTCGGGAAAGGCTTGACCTCCCACAGGCACCTTGGCCTTGTCATTTCTCCATCCCTTTACTGCCCTGATTGATCGCTGGTATTTCTCCCTACCCCTGGTGTCCCATGTCTGATGTCAGACATGGGGATTCTCACAGTACATGTTTGTGAAGAGGTTTGGCTGATTGGCTACTCAGCATCTGAGATTTGACAGTGCTAGATTTAACTTTTCTTTTCCAACTGCTCTACACTTGTTATGACTTCCTTCCAAGTTTTACTTAAGATGACTTTGATCTATACAGTAAAGAGTCAACCTTATCTCCTAGATGGAAAAGCATACGATGCTTTTGTGTCCTACCTAAGAGAATATCGTCCTGAGCATGGAGAAGAGTACACTTTTGCTGTGGAGACTTTGCCCATGGCGTTGGAGAAACATTTTGGGTATAAGTTATGCATATTTGAAAGGGATGTCCTGCCTGGAGGAGGTAAGACAGGGATGCTGGACAGAAAACTAGTAGACATTAGCTGCATAGATGACTCTCTTCTTTTCCTAAAATGTAAACAAATGAACAAGGACCTGAAGACTAGAAAAAAAACCAGTTGATTAGTAGTTAACCAGGCTGATTTGGTTACTATTTGTTTATCATATAATAATAAATGATGAGGAAGCAAACCAACGATTGTGTTTCCAATAACTCCTCCTCTGGGCCCTCTTTGTTCTGTTCCTGGCTCTCCAGGGGAGCAGTGGGCACCTCTTTTTTGTTTACAGTCAGCATGGCCCAGTGGTGCTGACCCAGAAATGACAGCCATTTAAGGAGTCCTGTTCTTCAGAACAGGTTCCTAATTTACTATGTGATGTGTGGGCTCTAACACGTGGAGGGATTCTTACTAGAAAATGTTTCTTACGGTGTTAATGCTGGTGACAAAATTACAGGAGGAAATAGAGGAATTAGGAAAAGATAAACACGAAGAAATTATTGGTGATTCCCATCAGATCACAGTTACAGAGTTCAATGTTTTAAAATTAATTTGTGAATGAATATGGCCATAGCACATACACTGATACCATTAAAATCAAAGACATTTATTAACATTCTCATGTTTTTTTCCTGAGGCCTCCCAGAGGAAACATTAGAAAATTAGTGTCAAATTATAATGGATATTGATGCTAATAAAAAATAGAAATGACTTCACTGTGGCCATGAAACATTTATTCACCTAGCATTTATTGAATACCATCACCCCTGGGCTGAGTTCTGATTCACACACAGAAGATAAAAGGAAGAATTTATTTAAGTAAACAAAAAAAAAAGAGTAACATTTCCCCTCTTATATTACAACTTAGAAGGGGAAAAAGTCTCCCTAATTAGAAAGACAAAATATACTCTAGTTTAATAATGAACAACTTCTCAAATGGAATAATGTGCCACATTGTCATTCATATTGCGCTGCGACATTTTTGTGAGGCAGTTCTTGTGCCCCCCCCCAAAAAAAAGGCACAGTGCCACAGTGCCGGGAATTTAGCTCAGTGGTTCTGCTGCTTGCCTCACAGGCACAAGGACCTGAGTTCGATCCTTGGTACCAAAAAAAAAAAAAAATTAAAAGACTCACATTGTTATTCCAAAAGCATTTATCCACCACTTTACACCAATTTTACTATATTTATATTATTTTCTGGGAGTAATTTTAAAATAGTTTTTCTTCTGAGTTCTTACATAATAATAAGGGCAATTTGTATGTATATTCAGTTGTAATTGGGGTCTAGAACAGGGGTTGGCATACTGCCACCTCAGGTCAAATCAGGCTGGCACCCTTGCTGAATCATCTGCCATCCATGGTAGCTTTTGAGCTAAGATAGCAGAGTCAAGTAGCAGGGACAAAGACAGAATGACCTGCCAGCTTGAAATATTTACTATCTGGCCCTCTACAGAGCAAAACTGGCCAATTCCAGTCTAAAATACTGAATAATGGGCTGGTTTAGTTTAGTTTAGAGTGTTCTGGGGTTTGGGCTTTTTTGGGGGGCGTTGTTTGCTTTTTAATCTTTAAATTTTTATTTCAGCAGGTGGGATGGTGTGGTGCATGTCAATGTACTCCACCTGGTTTTGCCATTTACTAGCTGTGGGACTCCAGACAAGTTACTTAACTGCTCTGAGGTTTGACTTCCTTGTCTTTAACAATGGGCAGGAAGCCAATACCTACTTCCTAGGCTCATTATGAGGATAAACAAGTTAATACACATAAAGCATTCAGGGAATGTTTCAGGGAAGGGAGAACATAGAGGAAATGTTGAGGTGGTTTTTACTGCTACCTCCATGATTATTTTTATAAAAATAAAATTAAGAGCAAGTGATTTATCTTAACATATTAATAAGCTTAACAGTTAAGCAATATAACAAAGGATCATATATAAAAACTAATTTGTATGCCATGGCCACTTTTCCTGTTAGGTTAAATTAACAGCACATCTCATGTTTTCAGCTGTTGTTGATGAAATCCATTCATTGATCAAGAAAAGCCGAAGACTGATCATTGTCCTCAGTAAAAGTTACATGTCTAATGAAGTCAGGTATGAACTTGAGAGTGGACTCCACGAAGCACTGGTGGAAAGGAAAATTAAAATCATCTTAATTCAGCTTGCACCTGTCAGTGACTTCACCTTCTTGCCACAATCGCTGAAGCTTTTGAAATCGCGCACAGTTCTCCAATGGAAAGCTGAGGAGTCTCTTTCCTCCCATAACTCGAGGTTCTGGAAAAACCTCCTTTACCTAATGCCTGCAAAAGTGATCAAGCCAGACAAGGGAGGGGCAGAGGGCTTGCCCGTTCTTGCTGAAGTATCTTGATGTTTAAAACAGCTGAATGTCACAAAGACCTCTAGTGATCCTAGGGACCAAGTGTGTGAGCCCGTTCAGAACAGACCTGCATTTGAAACATCTAACTCTACAAATCCCATTTGCTGTTTGAAGATGAGACGTGACATTAAGTTGTCAGGGCTGAGACTAAATCTTGAGCTGGTTCTGTGCTTATGGAAAACATTGGAATTCAAGAGAGCTGCAGCCCCCTACCCCGCACCTGGCAGCAGACCCCGTCCGTAGTCAGCAAGTGTGATGCTGAGTCCTGTGTAGATCAACTGAGCCTGACACCAGGGAACTGTGCTAAGAGCTTCTGTGCTCACAGTTATTTGGACCAGGGGATTTTCGCTGAAGGAAGATGGATTCTCTTTGAATCAGTGGGTAGCAGTCCTTGGAATGCTGTCCTACTTCCGTATCTCTAGCTACCTTGGATCCTGTTGGGGCTGGGGATACGAGGGCGTAAGAATTGCAGGAGTAAAGCTATGTGGGAGCCCCTGCACGCGGGGCCTGCACCCCAGCGTACATTTCCTTCTCCCAGTCCCTGTTCAAGGCAACAGTTCCTGGAGCCCCAGTGAGGCCCAGGGCAGAGCTTGCTTATGCAGACCTATTCTTGGGAACCTTCTATGACACAAGTGCTTTGACCAGCTAAGCTATAGGGCCCCTTCTTGGGAACGTCCAAAGGCAGCACCGAGTACATTTGTGTCTTTTAGGAGAGATACGTTTTAATTTGGATATTCTCAGCTTTTTTCACTTTTAATGGTCTAAAACATTTGTAGATTTCATGTAAATATTTGTATTTAGGATGGTGTGGGATCACATTAGCTATTAAATAGGAAAAGAAAAAACATATATGTACCTGCTTGATTTTTGAAAATGCTACTACTGAAAGGCCTCTAGCATGGAGGCAGTGTGGTATGGTGGGTGAGGGTCTTGGCTGGGTTGCCCACCTTGAGCTCCAGTCTTGCTCTTCCTCTGTGACTTCTGATCTCCCTGTGCCTCAGTCTTTTCATCTGTAAAATCAGAACTTATGATGGTCGTACCTGCTTCTCAGGGTACTAAATCAGTCAGTAAAGAATTTAGAACAGTTCTTGGCAGACTTACCCCTCTTTTACTGTTGCTATTAAGGTTATTATTACCATAATTAATTCTTACTTAGATCAGTTACAGCAGTGGGCCAAAGAGAAGTCACAGAGCAGGAAGGGGAAGTCAGGTTTGATTGGAGGACATTTGCAAAGATAGTAAAACAGAGAGGAGAGGCATATTGATCAAGCAAATGGTGTTTCTCCATTGCAGCCCAGAACTTAAATGCAATAGCTGGTCATGAAAACTGGAATGAGAAGCATCAGCATTCGAGCAGAAGGGAAGTCACATGGGCACGGAGGGCAGGTTAGAATCTATGGGTGCAGAATGAGTGTTCCAGAAAAATTTAAAGTGCAGATTGTTAGAACAGATGTAGTAGATTTTGCTAAAAATTCAAGAAGAATGAGATTTCCTGTATAAGAGAGTGATTTAATTTTATTGCCTATGAATTTGTGTGCTAATTGGCTAGATTAAAAAGTAAATGAATTGAATTAATATTTATGTTTTATGTATGAACAACTTGAATAAAATAAATAAATTTCATTACTATCAGTCTCTAATACCTAGAATGATTTTGTTTTCCTCTTTTGTTACACAGGCTTTAAAGCACATTGAATATATTTTGTATTAAATACATTTCACATTAAGTGTGTTAAATGTGTGCTGGGTTTTTTTTTGTACCGGGAATTGAACTCAGAACCTTGCACTTGTGAGACAGGTGTGGTGCCACTGAGCTAAATCCCTAGCCCACATGTGTGCTTTTAAAAACTTCAAGTACATTGCAATACATTAATGAATCATGATTCTCATGCCTTTGTTTTTGAAATGTCTTTTGACTTCTTTTTCACAATCCTTCATTCTGAACATAGTTTCCAGTGTATTTTAACAACATATGGGATATTCCAAATGAACACCTACACCTGTCACTTTCTAGATGTCAAATAACTTTGTGTCTTTTTATTTTACCTTCCACACAAGTGCAAAAGGAGAGGTCCCTTCTCCACCTCACAAGTCCACACCATGCTAAACACAGGGACTAACACAGAGTGGGCCTTCATATGTTAGCTGATTGATGTGCATATGTTTAAGTTTAGGCTCACACAACACCATTTCCAACTGGGATCAATCAGTACTTAAATACTTTAAGTATTCTTCCATGATTTCAGATGCCTTTAAATTGGAAAGTGTATTTTAGAGAATCAGAACAATCCACTCTCTAAGTGCAGAGAAACAGCTCGTGTATGTTTATTATTCTATTACAGGCACTTATTAAATTGCAGTTGTAGTCTCTCAATGCAGAGAGAAATCGTAAACGTATTCCAAACCCAGGAACCCGAGATATGGTTACGTCCAGGTTTGACCACGGTCACAGCCCTGGCTGCTCTACTGTACTGGTACAGAATGGTGCAGTGTCCCCTTCTGAACTGCCTGGTAGAAAGTGAGCCTGGAAGCCAGTAACTTGCAGGCTGAAGGTACTTTTCTGAGTCATGATTTATACTATGAAGGCCTAGGGCAGGGCTGTGCAGAGAGGAAGCTGGCTGCAGAGGACTGATCTGGAGGAGAAGGATGAAAGAGGGACGCTAAGGGCTCCGACTTAGTCACTCCGGGCAGGGTAAAGGAAACGTGTCAGCAATTACGTTCTGTGCAGGATGAATGTGTTCCTGTGTCTGGAATGTGTCCTCTGTCACGTCCTGAGATGGGGACGTGCTGCACTTGTCTTGGGGGAGAGGGGACAGTGCTCAGTAGGGACTGTAGTACTGGTTTGGGGTGGCTCGCCACACTCTCAGGAAGGCATAGAATGGATGCCGAGCTGAATCATGGCTTTAAATACTCAGAGAAACACCCTGTCATCCAGGGCTGCTCTGAAGGAAGAGGCGTAGGGCTGAGGAAACCTGATTTCTGAGAAGAAGCTGCAATGGGAAGGAGACCTGAGCTGTGAAGGGCTCCCTTGGGTGGCCAAGCCCCAAATATAACAAGAGTCACCAGTGTGTGCACCATGAGCAGGACATGGTGCCTCCCACCCCGCATGTGCGCACGCTGCTAGTGACGGGAGTCCAGGCTGGGCCCTTGCCAACCTGTGTTTCTCTGAGACACCTCTCAAAAGCTGTTTCTTTCTCCCTCTGGCCTGTTTGTGGATGCACACACATGCCCAAGGGACCCCTGCCTCCTTTATACGGTTGCTACAATTTGGTGCATGTACCTAAGGGTGAACTTGTTAATGGATGTTCACAAGTCATTGGGGAGTTATAGGCTTCCCTTGAGATACCATTCTGGGAAGGTGGGATGGAGAATTGGGGGTGTATATCCTGGGCCCCAAGCAGGTCCCCTTCACCCACATATCTTGACCCCTACAAATTCTATAACCAGAGCCGCACTGATTTTGCCCACTCCGTTTGTCATGGTCTCCTGTGACATTTTATTTAAAAAATAAACAAATAAAACAACAACTTCTGATGAGGTAAGCTTTAGGTATGATGAACATAACCCTCTCTCTCTATTTTAAACCTAGCAGTTAATGAATTATTGGGGAGGTGAAGGGAATGGCCAACTCTAGCTTAATCTTCTAGGTACACCTTGCTAAATTCCATGGAAGGCCCGAGCTGCCCACCCAGCTGGTGACCTTGCCACACCCAGGAAGGACCTGTGCAATTAGGAAGCTGCCCAAGGCCTCAGAGGGGAGAATCAAAGCACATTTTAAAATTCACCTCTTGACACTTAGGACTCAAGGCCCATAATAGCCACTTACATGTCAAGTTTCTGGTAGATTAGAGATTTTTTGTTGTTGTTGTTGTTGTTGTTTTTGTTTTTTTGTTTTTTGAGACAGGGTCTGACTATGTAGTTGAGACTGATCTAAAACTCACTTTGTAGCTCAGACTGGTCTCAAACTCACAGCGATCCTCCTGCCTCAGCCTCCTGAGTGCTGGACTTACAGGTGTGCACCACCATGCCTGGTTTAGAGATTTTTGAAATGATCAGAATCATTATGAACAATGCCTGATCAATAATGTTGGTCATCAAACTGATTGTTTTAAATCAAAAAGCAAGGAAGTGCCCCCTTTTTTTTCTACTGTGAGTTATAAACAAGTTATTGTGTTGCAAATTGGTTCTCTTGATTTTTAATGTTATTACATTGTTACATTTAACTTAGGAAATTTAGAAAATATATGATCAAGAGGGAATTCACTTTTAAATGTAAAGGCTAAAAGAGAGAACCTGGATATTTTATCTTACTCCTTAAAATGTCATTTACGAAATAATTTGAAATGTACAGAGCAGAAAGAAACAGGGCAAATACCCAATATCTACAATTTAGATTTAAAATTGCAGTTTCCCATTGTACTTATCCCTCACTTGTGTACTAGATTTCTGTGGCTATAATTTTTTAATCTTAATATTTCTCTCAAATATTCCTGAGTACCTCACCAGGAAATAGTTGTTTATCTGTATAACAACTGTGATTGCTGACCCTGAACAGAATTAAATATAATCCCCTCACACTCAAATTCTCCATCTTTCAGGGTGACTTCTGAGTCCTTTTCACACCACTGTTGCGGTTTTGATCATTTCCTTTTTTTGTTGTTGTGGATTTGAGAAGATGCCACAGAGTTACGGTGCTATTTTCTCTGTCTCAAATGATCAATTTTCCATGAAGCCAGGTTTTATTTTCAGTGGGGAATTGGATTCAAAGGGTCTTTTTTAGTTTTTCTCACTTTTAGTGGGTTCATCAATGTTGCCAGGTTTTAAGTAGAAGAAAATGCACACTTGTGTATAAAATGAATTGTGGATCAATACTGAAAAGCTCAATATAAATTCAGAGCTACAGGTTTTACTTTGTTTTAACAATTTTATGTCGATAACATTTGTACACAAAAAATTCCAAATCCCGATGACGTCAAAATTATCATTACTGTGTTTTATCCCACAATATACATAATAACTTCAAAATAATTATAATATAAACATATTCATGAATAATTTTCTAAAAACAGTTCAAGATTATTTTGCATCATTTCATTAGAATATAAAGTCAAGTTGTGTTCTAACATTTTTTGGAATTATTGCTGTGGATATTGTTTTGTCAACTCAATATAGTTAAGTTCATTTGTTTTATTTTGATTTTTAGGGGTTGATTCCTTAAATGTTATTTTCTCCTATTGCAAAAATGTTTGCATTCTTTTAGGATCAAATCCACAAAATAAAACATATGT